GTGAAAATTGGTGGTCTATTCCTCCTCAATGATTTAGAGGTTTATCACCCCTGTTACACAGCCGAGAGATCGGGAAGTGTTGATTTCACTTCCCTTTTTACTACGGTCGTGTTGATCGATATGATGCTAGGTTATCATCAGGTTGTTCAGTTCATTTCAGGGTGCACAAGACTGATAATGGCAACGGCCAATCAAGCGTCTAGAATTTCCTCTGTGGTATGTTCNCCCCCGCCTCAATAACAAGTTCAACTTCTTGTAGAAGAACAGCAGTCATTCATCTTTGGATTGCCGGTAGTTCGTTTGTCCACCAACCCTTCGAGTCCGCAGTTTTCTTTTCTGTAAGGCAGTTCTGAACCATGATTATTGGCCTTTCGTAATCAAAATGCTTGAATTTTCTGTCGAAAATGCCAAACCTTGGTTTAACTACTGAAATACTAACCAGTAATCAAACAATTACGATTTGCACAGAATGCAAGGGACACGCTTGAAGGCACATAAAATATTCTCAAATCCAATGTATGTTCGAACACGAGTGTTCTCCAATCTCTGCGAATTAAGTCGAAGCATTATATCTAAACCGCTTGACCACTTCTACCACTGTGAAATCGGTTGACTACTTTCATCACCACCAATGCCTCAATCAACTTGCACGTAGTATTGCATCTTTCTTCGCGTATATTTGCGTCTGCATACGCACCCAGTAAGAACGCGAACGTCCTGGAGAACGCACAGAGAAACGCCGATGCAGCGTTTTAAGTTTATTTATCACATTCACATGGAAACGAATGCATTCATCAGTTCTTGGGTCAGAACAATAATTTTTCGACTGAAAGCATAGTGTACGCTTCGTTTTATCTATGACCTTACAAGCATAGAAGTGAATCCAACGATTGCGTTCAACAGGAAGCCACACAAAGTGATTGATGCTTGAACCATCACAGGTTACCTATTGGACCAAGTCTATCATAACAACCGTCCAGTCGTCTAGTCATAATAAGTAGTATATGAATGACCCGACAGAATTTTCCAGAAGCACACAACCGGTTTCGTGGTCCTTGCAGTTAGTCAGTTATGTATACCGGAAGCGGAGGAGTACCGTTTGAGTAAGTAACCGATCAAGGATGATAGTTTCGGTGGAACGAGGTCTCACTGTTTTGCCCCCATCCATCCGCGAACGTCATGCCCTTGACCGTTAATCGCATGAGCTTCAGAAGATAATAAACAAACCCGGTGTTACTTGATCTCGGTCGGTTGATCGGTCGGTTGGTAGGTCCGTTGGGTAAGCAAACGATCTACTTCATCATGAGTTGATAAATCAATCACCATTTTCTCGCATGAGTGCTAGCGTGAATTGTTCTGTAGGAAGATTCAGCTCATATGCTCAGTCAACATTGGGGCCGAAATTCGTCGCTGCTTTCGAACTAAATTTCATTGCTTATATATCTCTGGCATTAAAAGGCACCGTTGACAAGGTGCTTAGTAGTGGTACTCTGATACAGAATCTCACCTGAATTACGCTATCTGAATTCATTTACTGGATATGAGATATTAGTTTTTTCCGCTTTGGTTTCGCGTCTGGTTACTGCATTCTACCTACCGGTAGCCTCCGGTAGCAGCCTAGCGTTTCAAGCTTCGTTACACATAGGTTTGTCTTGCAGTTTCTAATCCTTGTTGCATCTTTTCACAACCCGGATTACACAAGTCCCTCATTGATTAGGACCATTCTCACTGAACGTTCGTTGCACCTGGACGTATGAGCTTTGTTCAGCCGAAGAGAGAGAGCATGCAGTAAACTTATTTAATCTGTAAGTGGTTGCCCGGTGCGGTTGTGAAAACTTTTAGTGGAAGACCGGGAACCGTTTCGGAAGATCAACCCGGTAAAAAAAACTTCCGTTTAAAACTTTTGTGCAAGGTTGCGGTCAAGCCGTTGATCGATCCAACCGTCTCGCGTGCTTTATTTGACCGGTACGCTTTTCTCTCTTGGTGAATCTTCAGAAAAAACAATCAGATCTGTGGATGTGTATTTGTGAACACTGAATTGATGCCTTCAAATATGAACACTTTGTCCCGCGTCCTTTCACTGGGCCAAAGCTTCAGATGTGCGATGGGTAAGGGTTGGAGTAAAAGTGTGTTCATTTTCTACTAGATGGGAGTTTTGAGGGGCGACCCCATATAATGAGACTGGTAGTCATAGTGCGTGTGTGTGTGGGGGGGGGGACTGTTTCAGGGAGAAAAACTAGGAGGAAATCCAGTCTGGAGAAATCAAGCCTCAGTACGCACCCGGCTTGAGTTCCTAAGCCTTATCCAGAATGCAGCGATCGAGACGAAAACGTGACCTAACGACAGAGCCCCGTGAACTGCAATGTACAATGTTGAGTCGTACACGGGCTCCAGAAAAATGAGGACCGTTGGCGTCATCCTCCTCACTCACTCACACCCAAACAGGCCTGAATACATCCACACACATAAGGAACGGAAGAACAGGTACGTCAAAACATTACCAAAAGATGATCAATCTTATGTGGGTTATCGGGCTAACGATCGATCCCAACTTATGAAAGCGAAGTTGAAAGCAGGGCGGAATCCGCTGAGGAAGTGATGGGACACACCAAGCTAGCTCACGCCTTCGGAGAGGTATGAGATCCGGTAACTGGGATCCCCGGTTTGGCTGAAACGGAGCGGGGCCTAACAGTTGGTGGTGAGAGTGTAAAATGACATTTACTTTTTATCATAGATTCTGGTCGATGAAAACACACTTGATCTCGTTCTCAGGATTTTTCTAATTACTGAATTCCTTTGTTCCCTATTGCTCGTCCAGAAATTGTCATCCAAAGTACGACGTGCATGGCAAAATATTGGACGTTATTCAGAACTGGTCACACTGCATTTGAAGAATGCTGCCGATTTTCATCAGGTAAGCGAAATTCGAGTATGTGTATGTCTCAGGAAGCAATTTGTGTAATCCATGACCAACTCAAAATGCTTAATAATATTGTTAATGGTCTGCTTTTTCGCATTGTACTTTGATACACAGATCAATAATCTAATCTAACGCGGTGAATCCCACTTTGCCAGAAATTCCTCCACTGCTAGACTGATAAGAGGTTTATGTAAGATGGTGGCCTACATATTGACCGGTCAGACATGTCCTACTCATGAGTAGCAGTAGGACATTTAGTGCATTGTTTTGTCATATTTGTTATCACCGAATCACTTATTTAAGAAAATTAGAAGCGACACAAATGCGTCTTCAATTATTTCATGTTCTTCTTTTTCTTTATTCCTTGAAATACAGTTTTATTACGATGCCAGACAAGTTGAAGTAAAGCTGAACGAACAATGCCACAAATTTCTAAACGCTCGAAGGCGTTACAATTGGGACAATTGTGAAGGTAACGTCGTTGAAGCTCGCGAGCTGACCAATTTGCTCAAGGTGAGTGATCGTGAGATTAACTGAAAAATAGACTAATTGTTGTTACTTAAATAACATGATTTATGATAATGTTGTTACGAACCAGTGTCTCGTCCCGCTCTGAAGGTGTTCCGTTCTGTAGGTTACCAATGCGACGGTTAAGCAGCAACACGTGATCGGACATGGATTCCGAAATCAAGCACAACACTGATCGGTAAAGCATACGGAACTGTTTAGACCAACCAATGAGAATGGTCGGTGTATTATCGTACCTCAACAATGTGGTTCAGTCCGTGTAAGACTAACAAATTGTCCAACAAGTCAGCAGTGATCTACACGAGGAAAAGAATCGGGCAAAGGGTGTCAAATCAAAGAATTCTACTCACTAAGATGCACTATCTGCATGATCTAATCCCATCACAAATATGGAATGAATCCTGGTCTAAAAAAAAACAGATTCAAAGTAACTAACAGCCATAGACATGGTGAATCCGATTTGTGTAGAAGAGGCAAAGGCTAAAGGAGTGGGCCAATGGAATGACTTTTTATCGGACGCAACACGACAAAAGTCAACAATCAAATTTTAAAACGTAATGGCCACCACAAAGATTAATGAACCCGAAATTCATTTTTTTACAATAAAGAAAGTAATACATCCAAGTTCAACAAGCCAGAACCCTCAGATTACTATGATTACTACACGAGACATGACAAATAGCGACTCAGCTAGAAATTACTCGGCTCCGAATAAAAACTAGTCCAGCATTTGTGACACGCAACATATCGAAACCCCTTTTGATGATTTCATATCGCTCTATGGATGTAAATAACTCACGTTCCGAATTTCAGTCGAGACTATAGATGATTACATTAATGAACAGGAATGCAAAATAATAATTTTCCTAAAGTTGGCTTGGTTTTTGTACATTGACAGACACAATATCAACATTTGGAATATTTGGCTGCCAGATCGAAAGAGATTTTGGAACGTTCTAGTCAAGTTGTTCCAATACACTTACGCCTGAATCGTTTGAAAGGTCCGGTGAACGGCGTAATGTTGTGTGACTACGAGACACCCCATTTCAAACTTTCTGCCGGTGACTCTGTCCTCGTGTTGAGCAATTCATCTAGTCATCTAGCCGAACAAAGTCAGACAAGTGAATCCCAAACGGAATCCCGATCCGAACTAACCAGTGGTACGACCAGTGAAGATATCAATGATATAGCTCCGGGCCTACTGAATGGCGAACGCAGTGGTGTACCAACGGGCCCTGCTATCCATCGACCTGCAATCCCGTTCCGTTGGGAAAGACGGGAAGACACGGACACTGGGACCTATACATCAACTTCTTATTTGACGGAAAGCTCTTTGCAAGGTCCGGCGGCTGACAAACTGCAGTGGCACATTCGAACCCCTAACGGATCTGTGGATGCTCGGGTTCCTGCCGTGTGTGTGTGGATTCCCGCACCGGATGTGGAAGCCAGAGAACGTTCAATTGCGTAAGTTTTATTTACCAATTGGGGGTTTCCATCCATCAAAGATAATTATAGAGTTTCTTTTTTGATCTACTCTCCTTCAAACCTTACGGTTGTGTTGTTGGGATTTGGAAAACGTTGTTTGAAAACCTAGCCCAGTTGGTGCAATCGGGCGGACTTGTAACCCAGATTCCATTCGAGGACTCGATTCAACGGAGCACTATCGATTGGTGGATGTATATTGTGTCTCCGTTTGTTGCCTTTTGTTAAGGCCGAATTCCAACCGCGACGCTGTGCACAGTATTTTTAGGGACCCGTACCCAACGCAAGAAGTTCAGAACACACACATGTGGGTATGCTGATCGGAACCGAGTTAACGATTTAATGATTGCTCGTGAGAATACATTAATCGATTAAGCGATAGTCTATAACTAGGTCAAGCCGTTTCACGGACAGAACGGATTGAAAGGGTATTAGTCAGTGGTGGTCATGATCAACTGAGTCATGTGATTGAACTGATAGACGGACGCGTACATAACACTTTTGGAAGTAGAACTTGATGTAGTATATTTGAAAATGTCGTCTGAACGAATTTAAGCTTTGAATTTCAGTCGACTCAGTAATAACCCTGCTAAGCATGGAGTTACTTAGGATTTCGGAACCTGAATTGTTCGGAGGATATGCACGAACGATGAGATCTAATAAACGAAACAAGGCCAGTCTGATATTTCTGGAGATTGCAGTTCGGTAGTCAAGTTTCTTTAGACCTTAAAGGTCCAGTGAAGACAAACTTGACATTAGACATTGACTTGTGCCTATTGGTGTCTATTGGCTGAAAATATTTATTTCTCAAGCTTTCGCAACGATGGCGGATTAAAATTTGACACAGTTCCCACCTGAAATTGCAGATAGGACGAAAAATGGTCCGATGACGGTCCCAACTTGTGTTGGGGGACGTGCAACTTCTTGTGAGGGATAAAACCTCCTGGTTATTGCGAATATCTTAGTTGTGTACAACCTGATGGAGCCTTTCTGAAGTGAGGGATTACCTTAATCATGAAAAAGTGTTCTTCAAATATCGGGGAGACATTGGTATTGTTTGCTAGTGTGCAGTTGTTCCGGGGATCAGGACAGGAAGGAGGCGTTGCGTTCGAAACGAAATTGATCGTCCGATCTCGAGGTGACAGATTCATTGTCTATGGGCCTTTCGCTGAACACATGGCTCACCAACATTACGTTTGTATTGTCTTTCGTGTTGGTACCGAGTCACTTCCTTCGATTCAACCAAGGGGATCCAGGTGTATCGACTATTCCGATTGATTTCACATTCGAAGCACCAGTACCCGTGTTGTGAGGTACTGCTCACACTTTGAGTAGTATGCAAAATAGTGCGGTTGGTGGTTTTCTTCAATGATCAAAAATTAACAAGACAACCGAGGGCCGATTGATGTGTCTCAAAGAATAACTACCTACTACTCCACTTATTGTCCGGTGTGCTGCCTAGAACTGCGATCATATATTCCAAATGAGATTTCTGTTATATGTATGCTAAATTAGTGATACCCTAACTGTTATCTGCAATAAACAACTTCCCTCCGTCTTGTGGAATTTTAACACCCGTTCCGCACCGGCACAGCACTCCAGAGAGATGATGACACAGGGTAGTGTGAACTGTTGCTCGGTCAACGCGTGAATTTGGTTAACCATATCTTCTTCACCCTGTTTACCTGCTCGTTCTATCGCATATTTTGTTCAGTTCCGGTTCCGCTTCTGTAAATATTGATTCTTTCATGTTTATGTAATAACCAATGGACAGTAAAAATATCATAACATTTAATGTCGTTATATTATTATTATTATTAATAGTATTAACAAATAGTTGTCATTGGACCTAATGCTTTGATTTGTTAGTCATTTTTAATCGACTAGCGGGACAACATTTGGGAAGTGAACAGTAGTAAGTTAGATTCAAAAGTTAGATTCAATGTGATAGATACTGCTTCACCAAATCGAAGATCAATAGATTGATTCAGTAAATACATAACTGTCATTTTATCAAAGGTTGTAATTAACCGGTTTATTTATTCTTCATTAAAACCAACAGATTAAATCGGATTTTATTGGACACGTGGAAGGATATCATTGACGATCAGCTGCTCGTCTGCCTTCGGTTCTTCAAGCGATTGTTGAGACGATTACTGCAGAGTGATGTAAGTTGACCGACTACTGACTAATTATTGAATTGCCCTGTTTTTCTGTTTACCTTTGATTTATTTTGATCAATGAATTATCCAGTTGAACAGTTTACCGTATAGATGAAGATAAATCGAACAGTAAGTGGGTGAGGTCAATTGGAAATCCGTACCAAGGATTTGTGGAAGTAACTTATCTGGTCGCTCCTTCAAGATGTGCAGTTCGCTTTATACGATAACTTATCCGGAGACCCTTGTCCACAGGATAGTGCTTATAAAAAACTGCTAAATGTTTTCAAACATTTTATCCCGGCTTTTTTCATCAGGGTATAACCACCGATGACGATGAAGCGTTCAAGAGATTCCTCCATGAGCTGGCCTATTCTCTGAGTGAACCACCATCTGCAGAAGGCGACGAGACTAGAAATAAGGAGTTCCTTGAGCTGATCAACGCAACACGAGATCTCTGGCAAGGGACTAACAAGGGTGAGTCATCTGATACATTCAATTCAAATAGTTTCCTATGTACCAGTTTTTGTGCCATATAAGTAGCCTTTAAGTGCACCCGGATAAAGTCAACTTTACTGATTTCATATCCTTAACAATTAGCGTCTGCCATGGGCCAGAACACTCATAGCATAGAAAAACAGGCGGGTTCTATCTAGATTCGATTGCGATAAAGCACAGTGGTATTACACGGAGCCGCTGTTCGGAACCTCGATGCACCCTCGGGTTACACCATCTACGAGGTTCCGAAACACGTTCTTGTCGATAGAAAGTTATTTTCGTTTTCAGATGATCGCTTACTGGTCTTTCATTTCGTGTACTTATCGATTCGCAATATATCCTTCGGATGAGAACGTCCTCAAATGTGGGTCGATATCTGGGATGTATGTGGGTGGTACCATCACTTTACTAACGCAGAATAATCCCCAGCTTCTGCTCCGAAGTGTGCCCGAAAACAGATTCCGCCTGACGATTCGGTGCCAAAAACGACACTAAGTCGATTTCCACTGTATGAACATACCGATCGGAACCTTGAACGCGATGCAGAATGATGGGGCTGTTTGGACCGTGAGCCGAAATTGCGCCTCGACATCAGCGAAATTCTCGCACTAAAACGTCGGTTGACATCCTGGGTGTCTGTCCCTTAGTCGTGCCCAATAATAACACCATATGCTCAGTCCGTCAAAATCGCATTGTTATTCAGCGATCCAGCAGATACATTTCCTCTCATGTTACATGAGTTTCAACCAATGATAAACTGAATTATTCTTTGCATTTTCCTTTACTTAATCTTCAAACTTCGTTGTATTGTTATATTTGTGACATGGTTCACGTAATAGGAGGCCAAAAGCGCTTAACTTTCGCTTTTCTGAGATTCTTCAAGGCCAAGCCGTTCGCTTTCATTTTTCACAGAGATCGCAGAAATTATCGCAACACAATAAGCCGCGATACGTTTAATCGTTTGACTGTATCTGGGATACTTCATATTCCACGCTTTGATCCACTCTACACGCCATCCGAAATTTTATTCTAACAGACCGCTGCAGCGATTGGCTTTATCCGGTTGAGTCAGATTTGGTTATCGATCGTCTAAGTCACTGTGACCGTTCGATCCGGACATGATTCAAATTCAAGCGCATACACATTCACTTTGTTCGCTTTTCCCCGCACGCTTATTCACATGTCTGGCATTGGATGCCGACCAGGACGTTCTGGCATGTCCAAAAAGTATGTCAAAGTTCCGCCGGGATGTGGCTGCATCAAACCATACATTAGTGCTCCATTTACAATGATCCCAAGGGAGAGGACGAATTTTTTGTCGCGGTTTTATTTTGAATTTTCGATCATACTTTCTTTTTCATGAAATTTCGCATTCAGGCTACCTACGTAATACTAACAAAAATGGTTACTGTCTTACATTCAGAAGTGGAAATACTACGAAAATTTTGTGGGCATGAGACGGAGGGTAAAGTACCATTTAAGTTACATCTACCGTTTCCAGTTCAAAGATGAACAAATAATGCTCACTGTCACTTTACAGGGGGATAAGAAGAAATGTGCTTTGTAAATAAAACGGCGAACTCGACCGATGGTATCTACATCATTTACAATGGTGATCTTTATCGTGAATCCCAATATCTCACATGGTGGCTTTCGTTTCTCTTCTGTAATAAACAGATGCCTCAAAGCAAGACGAGAACGTCGTTCATCTAAAACGAACCGAAATTTCCAACTTCCATTGCGTCCTTGTTTGGATCAAGGTAAGAATAATTTGAGGATAATTTAATAGTAACGATTGATTGGTCGATTTGGTCATTTCATTTTTTCGTAAAATTATATGACTTTTCATATGAGCTTCTATGTCACCCTTCATTGGCTTTTCTTAAATTGACATGTTTTATATTTCCAAATTTGGCCTTTATCGATCAAGCAATATTCGATCCGCAGGCGTTGATCCATACCGGTGCCGACGTTTTCTTTATTCTAGTGTCTGATCCTGTCCATCACATGATACAACCAGTTGAGAAAATACTAAGAGTTTTGCGTGGGCCTACATCGTTGTCCGTTAATCGGACAAGTTCAAAGTTTTATTGATTATGCGCTTATCGAACCCCCTTCGAAAAATAGTGCGTGTATCTTATTAAAGTCAAGCGTTGGCCCAGTGTCACAATCGCTTAAGCGTTTTCCATTCCGAATTTCCTACATGGCGTACCAAGACCATTACACAAAGTACAAGGCGGAAATCGAGCAATCTCTTGTTGAGGTGGGGGACTCTAAGTGCTACAAATCGCGAAATATGGTCCGATCAGAACACAGAAAGTATAGGAGGGAATTTACTTGATTAAGGTCACGGGTGAGAGGGACGAGACGACGTGAAACGATGGAGTAATCGCACTGCATAATGTGATTCACAAAGCCGAACTTCATCGCTCTCTCTACACCGGTGGCAGTTGTTGCGTTGGGGATTTTCGTCAACGCCTTAACAACTACAACCAGCAGTGGATCTACCTAATGGTGAGCAGAAAGTTCAACGGCTGTTTAACACCTTTACTTAGATCGGGTCGAGAAAATGAAATCTTATTTTAAAGCATAAATCACAGACGTCTACGAATCTCTCCAATCATTTGCAAGCCGTTGATGAAGAAGATCACGTGCGTGCCGAAACTTCCGCAGATCCATCAAAGAAATCATGAAGGATTTTGTAAAATACTAACTACTACCTCGGACTGTGTTAACGGGGTCTAAAATATGAGGTGCGTTTAGCAGACACCAGCAGCATTTTTCACAGGTCCACAATTAGGCCGAGTGGGGGATGGACAGGGAGGACGGTTTGAGCGGAAACAAAAGTCAAATTCAATTTTCTATTATGGGTCAATCACAAACCTGATGCTTACTGAATTCCATAGGCTTTGTACACACACGGGGCTCGGTTGGTAGTACAATTAAATAGCAAATGGTAACGTTCGCTGGCGGGTGCTGGACAGAGTTAGGTGTAGTTCAATGCTTTATCGATCCGGGACTTGAATGAATCGCTGTTTGGAGCACAAACAACTCGAGGTAGATGAAAGTCCCAGACTGTGAGGATGAAAGAGTGACACCTGTAGTCTAACTTACTGTTTTGGAGCAAAACCACACTGGTATTCACAACCAGAAAATCATGGAGCAGTTATGGTTATGCATATGTCTTGTCCAATCAACATGTTGGGTTTTCGTCCATGCCAAATCCAGTGTAGTATTTTTAATAACAGTGAAACGCGTGAAATGCTTCTAACGTTCTTCTATGATTGGATCACGGATATCAACCACCTGATTATCTAGTGGAACGATGTTCGTTGCTTAAAATTGGTAATTATCGCTCGGTAGGATTTGTGCCACTTATACAGGATATTAAACCAAAATCCTGTTACATTTGGTACGTTTAAGTGTCCTGAGATTTACGCATGGGGTTGCTGTTTTATTGGACAGACATTGATTCCCCGAGTTGCGAGAATTCACTCACATCGCGAATCCTTTTAATTTGTACCATTTATTCGGTGGTATACCTAACATCGGCCCCAACTAACGTAATCTATGAGGTAAACCTCTTGCTTAGTCCAGTAGGTGACCGCACTTACCGAAAGCTTTGCACCTAACCTCAGCACTGATTGTCCGTTCGCTCCACCAGGTTCGTGCAACGCTGCTTAGACCGTAGTACTCGAACATTGGCACTCTATCCTTATCCTCCTCTCGTAATGGTCAATTTTCCGCACCGTATAGCGGCACCGGTTGAACCGCTGCAGCATACACTCGACATACATACACTAGACAACAGATATCGCAACGATGCCACGGATCTATAAAGTTGGCCAGTTGGATTCCGAGCGTTTGAGACGGCGTGATTTGCTTCTCAATCGACGGAGATAGTTTTGCATGGTAAAGTAAATTTGAACGGAATGAGAATCCAACGCGTGGGTTCATATTATCTGAAAAACGGACAGACATCAGACTCATCACTGGGCGATTTTCCATCGTGGCCTTCGACAGTTAGGTCAGCAAATATTTGCAGAATATTAGACTGAAAACTGTTTACCAAGGTCATTGCTATAGATTCCGTAGTTATCAGGATCTGCGGAAGCCACAGCAATCAGATTTAGGAAGCTGGAATTGTGCAAGCAACGTAATCGGGTTCAAACGCCAATATTACCAAGTAACTGCTGTGTGACACCCTTTCCATTTTTCCCTTTCCTCATTTACTGCCTTTTCCCTCTCACACTTTCACACCCGTCTCATTTTATTCTTGACTAACACCTTGCATGTCGTTTTCACTTTTGCACTTTTTACCTTGCGTTTTCCTATCCATCTATTGCGATCCCATAGTTGATTAAAAAACTTAAAAAAATGTATTTTACTTCCTTTTTTATTTATTGAATATACAAATGTACAGTAAACTTTCAGGAGGGAAACTGCAGCCACACAAAGGCTGCTAGGGGGAATGAGGAACCTAGGAAGACGGGTGGTGCTGGAGCGGTTCGCATTCGGGACTTCCGGGTCATAGTTTGATGACCTAACCACTTGGCCACCACCGCCCTGTTGTCAGCTACACACACACACATTCAGTCAACGTCAGCTTAGGCTTTGTACTAATCTATTGACTAATGGAACTGTACGTATGGATACCTGAA